GCATCACTTCCTCGCTCCCAGAGGCCCTGGACTGTGTGTTAGCGTCAGCACCGGGATCTGTGTGGGGGTGGTACCTGTGTGTGTACAGACACGTATGCACATCACACACACACACACACACACACACACGATTTTGAAAACGCAGGATTCTCGTGTGGGTGATTCCCGGCCCGTTGGCCCAGCCCTTGTCCGTGACGACAGCTGCGTGTCAGTCTTTCTTACAGCCGGGGCTGCCGGGTCTCAGACGCGGCACGTGTGTGTGTGTGTGTGTGTGTGTGTGTGTGTGTGTGTGTGGCGGGGGAGAAGAGGGGCAGATTTTTAAACAAAAATGGAGCCCAGCTAGGGTGGCTCAGTAGTTGAGCATCACCTGAGCCAGGAGTCAAGGTTTGATTCCCAGTCAGAGGCACAAAAAAAAAGTAATGATAAAACAAGAAGTTAAATTTAAGTTCCTATCAGGAGCTGCCTGGTTGGGATCCCGCTGCCGGAGACTGAGCAAGAGAGTGGCCCTTCGGTTTCCAGGATATTTTCAAAATGTAATTTTCTCTCTGCCTGACAAAAATGGAACCTGATTATTTTTAAAGCATCTCTCGCCACTGGGGCCGCTTTGTTAACGCAGAGACCCAGAAATGCATTATGTAGCGCCGAGGTTTTCCAAAAACGGCCCTCTTGGCACAGCACAGGAACGCATGTTTTATTCATGCGAAGCGCGGGATCTCTGTCACAGGAAAACACGCCATCGTGCCAGGGGGGCTGCTGGTGCCAGCCTCGGGGCTGCCGGGCGGGCGGCGGGCAGCAGCCTGCACGGTGGACCCGGAGGACGGCTCTCGGGCTCAGGGACGCTTCTGGGCGAAGCCAGCGCTGGCTCTGGAGCCTCTGCTGGCTCTGGAACAGATTGGCGCTCACGGGCACAGACGAGAGAACATGGATGGAGGAAGCATGAGCCACGCTGTTCCGTGGGAGCCAGTGGCAGCTGTCCCACGTGACGCAGGCCGGCAGCCGCGGGGAGGGGGGGGGTTGCGGGAGCGTGCTCTTTCGATGCGACACCCTCCGGGCGCCCGCACCTCCACGTGGGTGCCTGTCCCTCAGAGCTCCCTGTCCCCACGCCCCCTCTGGGTCCCAGGCTCCGGACAATGCCCAGGCACAGCAGGTGCCCGCCAGGCAGCTCTGCAGGCTATGGTTCTTCCCAGTGTGCTGGGCACTCGCCCACGGAAGGTGGGGCCTGGGGGGCGGCAGGAAGTGCTGGTGGCCCTGGGTCCTCAGGTGGCAGCTGGTGAGGTCAGTGCAGGGCTGGGTGGGGGGCTGGGTGGTGCCTGCGCTCCGTGCCAGGGGTCTGCTCCCTGGAGGGGCAGCGGGGCCAGCATCAGTGGGGGCTCTCGGCCGCTGAAGAAGGTGCCTGGGGCTGAACGCCAGGTCTGGCTGCACAGGGGACGCGCCCCAGGCCTGGGTGCAGGCCCCCAGTGTGGCCGGCGGGCAGCGTGGGCACGTACCTGCTGGGGCCTCTGCGCCCAGCCAGCCACGTCCCCGCTCGCTGCCCTGCTGGCAGAGCTCACCGGACCAGCGTGCTGGGGGCTTGGTGGCCGCTGGTGTTCAGTGTTGGCCGCTCCATCAAGGTCACTGAGCCCAGCACTGAACAGAGAAACAAAATTCTAGCATGAGTGTAGTTCAGAGTTTTTACTACTTAAAAAATAAGTAAAAGGGCCCAAACCGGTTTGGCTTAGTGGATAGAGTGTTGGTCTGTGGACTGAAGGGTCCCAGGTTCGATTCTGGTCAAGGGCATGTGCATTGGTGGTGGGCACATCTCTTGTGGGGGGGGGTGCAGAAGGCGGCTGGTCGATGATTCTCTCTCATGGATGTTTCTAATTCTATCCCTCTCCCTTCCTTTCTGTGAAAAATCAATAAAATATATTTTAATAAATAAATAAATGGGAACAGTGAGCCCAGTGGGCATGGCTCCATGAGCATCAACCCAGGAACCAGGAGGTCAGGGTTCGATTCCCGGTGAGGGCACAGGCCCAGGTGACGGGCTCCATCCCCAGCGGGGGGCGTGCAGGAGTCAGCTGATCAGTGATTCTCTCTCATCACTGATGTTTCTCTCCCTCTTCCTCTCTGAAATTAATAAGAACTTATTTTAAAATAATAAATAGGAGAGGAGGGTATTTTGTTCAGCCTGCTGAGGCCAAAGTCCCCGACAGTCACACCAGCCCGACATCCCAGGACGGAAGCCGCGTCCTGTGAGCGAGGACACTTCTCAACGAAGTCCAGCGACCTCAGGCAGGCTGCCCCTGCGGGCGGTGGCGTACGCCCGGGAGGCGGGGCTGGTGAGCACAGAGCCGTCAAGCAGCGAAAACCTGTATTGATGGAGCGAACGGCGGAGGCTTACACTGCAACCGTGCTTCCTCAGTAAAAACCTGCAACTCACCAGAAACAGGCGGGACTTCCTCCGCTGACACCACAGCAGCAGCCGCAGCTTCCTCAGGACCAGGAGCCAGCGGCCTCCGGAGCCTCCAGAGCAGGAGCCCCGAGACCCCTCGTGTTGGTGAGGAGACGCCTGTTCACGGCTGTGTCTCCGACAGCGCGGTGCTGAGGATGAGCCAAGCGAGGCCCATCGGGATGTGAACGTGGACAGAGCCGGGGCTGGGAAAGGTGGAAGGTCACCCCTCGTGCAAAGACGCAGCTCAGGGTAATGGCTTTTGAGGTTCCAGCTGCTTTTTAAAAAACCCACAAGCTGCTTCTTTTTAAAAATACATTTTTAAATTGATTTTAGGGGGGGAGAGAAACATCATGATGAGAGAGAATCATGGATCGGCTGCCTCCTGCACACCCCACACTGAGGATCCAGCCCAAAACCCGGGCCTGTGCCCTGATCGGGCATCCAGCCCTGACCTCCTGGTTCACAGGTCGATGCTCACCAGCTGGTTCCGCGGTTCGTATGGAAATGTTGGGACCCAGAAGAACCAGGACCTCTGGAGCGAGGGGAGGACGGGGGCTCACACTCCCGATTCCAAAGCCGACAGGGCAGCCACGCCGTCAGAGACACGGCCCGGGCAGCGTGGGGGAGGATGGACACGGCCCGGGCAGCGTGGGGAGGACAGGGGAGGACGGGGAAGGACGGACACTGCCCGGGCAGCATGGGGGAGGACGGACAGGGCCCGGACAGCGTGGGGAGTATGGACACGGCCTGGGCAGCGTGGGGAGTATGGACACGGCCTGGGCAGCGTGGGGAGGATGGACACGGCCTGGGCAGCGTGGGGAGGATGGACACGGCCTGGGCAGCGTGGGGAGGATGGACACGGCCCAGGCAGCGTGGGGAGGACGGGGGAGGACGGACAGGGCCCGGGCAGCGTCCTCGTCGGCTGTGTTCTGACATGGACGACGAGACTGTGGGATGAGGACAGGATCAGTTCCATCGACAAGGGGACGGCAGGGCATCCACCAAGAGGGAGGTGGGAACCATCCCAGCAGACAGCGTCACCCGAAAACCGGTCTCCGGCGTCGTTGTCGGAGTGAAAACCGCACCGTTTCCCGAAGAAAACGTAAGCGTCCTTGGGGTTTGGCCGTGTGTCAGACGCGACACCAGACACATGACAGAGAGATGGCGGACTGGACGTGACGCAGCCCGTGGGCCTCCGGGCGCCTCCGGCAGGGAAAGCGGCGCAGGCCGGCTCGACGCGGCCTCGGGTGGAACAGGTGGGGCGGGGCCTGTGCCTGACGGTGAAACGGTAAATGGCGTCCGGAGTCATCGGGGAAGCGCGGCGAGGCCACAGTGCGGCCCGGGACGGCGGGGCGTGCGGGCCGTGACCCCCGGGGGGACGGGGAGGCAGAGGGCAGCTCCTCGGGGGCCCCGTGGCCCCGGACAGCCCTCGCCCCGGCTGATGGACGGCACAGGACGTGTGCGGACAGTCCTGCCGGTCCTGCCCGTCCCGCCTCCCCAGCCCTGCCCGGGCCGCACCTGCTGAGCGATGGGATGCTGGCCCCTGGGGGGGCCAGCTCCTCAGCACCGCCTGATGGGGTCTGACAGCCACAGGCCGCCCAGCCCCCAGGTGTCATGGCGCCAGGCTCCGTGCTGTGTCCTGTGGAGCCCGAGTCCTCCCTCTGGCCTGCCATGTGCTCACACGCTTACACGCGCTCACACACACACTCTCACACGCACACACACGCGCTCACACCCGCTCACGCCCTCACACGCTCACACGAGGCCCCAATGGCCGACAGTGAGGCCGACAGTGAGGCCCCGATGGCGGACAGAGAGGCCGGCAGTGAGGCCCCGATGGCCGGCAGTGAGGCCCCGATGGCCGACAGTGAGGCGCGATGGCTGGCGGCCGGCCGGGGTTTGCGTTCCTGGTGAATAGAGCTGAAGGGATGGAATGTGATGGATCTGGAACAAGACAAGCCCCTAGTACTGACCTGTGATGTGGGACTTGCATCCTCTGCAGTGGGAAAGGAGAGCAGGGTGGGGGCCGTGGAGGTGGGGGGAGGGGAGGGGAGGGGGAAGGGGAGGTGGTGGAGGGGAGGTGTGGGGAGGGGAGCTGGGGGGCCATGGAGGTGGGGGGAGGGGAGGTATGGGGCCATGGAGGTAGGGGAAGGGGAGCTGGGGGGCCATGGAGGTGGGGGAAGGGGAGGTGTGGGGAGGGGAGGTGGGAGGAGAGGTGGGAGGAAGAGAAGTGGGGGGCCGTGGAGGTCAGGGCAGCTCCCGCAGCTGTGCAGCCCGCTGCCCTGGAGCTTCTCCCCCGCCTCGGGGAGTCCCGTGTGGCCACAGTGACTTCCATCCTGGGGACACTTGCTGGGTCCCCCTCGGCCCCCCTGGGTGCTGCTGACCACGAGGACCTGGGTGGGGCAGCCCCTCTCCAGCTGCCAGGAGGCCCCTGTGCTGGCGCTGGGGCAGAGAAGAGGCAGGAGCTGCTGGGGAGGGACCCCTTCACCGCTCCCTGCCCACAGCCGGCTCACGGGGGCTGGCGTCCGGGAGACTAACCGGCCCTCTGTCTCTGCCCGCTTGGTCCCAGGGGGGCTTTCTCTGTCGTCCGACGCTGCGTCAAGCTCTGCACCGGCCACGAGTACGCCGCCAAGATCATCAACACCAAGAAGCTGTCCGCCAGAGGTAGGTGGGCCGTGTCCTGGCCCAGCCTGTTGGCAGCACACATGTACAGTGACATGTGTGTATGTGCACATGTGTGTGCAGAGCACAGCCTGGCTTATCTCTGCCCGTGGCTTTCCTCGCCCGGCCCTGCGTGGCTGGGTGATGCCGGCGTGGGGTTGCTCTCTCTCTGGTCAGTGCACACGTGTTTTCCCCCGTTTTTGCTTTCACAACCTCCATCCGCTTTTAAAATCCTCCGACACCTGTTTGTGTGAAGTGTTTTGTTTCTGGCGGGTGAGTGGCGGGTCCTGCATCGGGCCTGTGGGTGCAGCAGGACCCGTGACCCCGAGCCCCCTCCTGCCCACGGGGCAGAGACACCCTCCGGGCGCCGGCCTTCCCAGAGGCCGGGTCCCGGCGGCCACCTCCGGGGACGGCGGCTGGTCCGGCACAGGGGTCAGGGGGCCAGGCCTGGGGAGTGACCGGCTGCGGGACCTTTCTGCCCAGATCACCAGAAGCTGGAGAGGGAGGCTCGGATCTGCCGCCTGCTGAAGCACTCCAACATCGGTGAGCGCCCGGCCAGGCCCCCCCCCCACAGCGGGCTGCCTGCCCTCCGACCCCGACCCCCTGTCCCCCTCTCTCCTCTTCGGGGGGCTGGGCCAGCCCCTTGGGGAGGTGGAGCCATGCCCACCCTGGTAACTCCCAGGCAGGGTTCTGGGAGGCAGGCAGGGCCTGGAAGTCCTGCAGCTTCAGAAAAGCCACAGGTGCTGCTGCAAAGAAAACGGGGCGGAAACCAAAGACACAGAAGGCACTGCCCCGCCTTGGGTCCGGCCTGGACCGGCCTGGCTCTGCAGAGCCTGCATCTCCGCAGCCCCGGACCCAGAACTGTGGGGGGGGTGTCTCACCCGCCAGCTGCCCCTCGGGGACACGGGACACGTGAGCTCCAGAGCCAGGTCTGGTCTCGGGGGTCAGGTGCAGGAGGCCCCAGAGCAGGTCTGTGGGTGGGATAGTGGGAGCTGCTTGGTTCCCAGACGGTGCTGACCTGGACATCGGGATGGTGTCGGCCTGCCTGGCCCTCGGCCTGCCCTTCGCCCCGGGGCTCCTTTCCGGGGTCGGTGTGTGAGTTCATCGGGGTACCCCACACCCCAAGAACCGCCCATCAGGGCCATGGCTTCCGCCCTCCCCCCCACCTATCCCCCCTGCTCTGTCCCCCTCACGGTCTCCCTCCCCGCAGTGCGCCTGCATGACAGCATCTCAGAGGAGGGCTTCCACTACCTGGTCTTCGATCTGTGAGTGCTCGGCCTCAGCCCCCGGCGGGGGGAGGGGGTGGTCCCGGCTCCTGGCCTCGCCCCCTCGCTCCCGCTGCTTACACTGGGCTCCTCTGTCCCATGGCTGGGTCACTGCTCTGGGCCCTCCTCCAGACAGAACATGGGGGGGCCGGGGTGAGGAACAGGCCTCCCCCCTCCCTTCCTGTCCTCACCACCTGCTGGCGTGTGCACAGAGCGTGAGAATGCACGTATGTGGCTCTGGTTCCATATGTTGATGAGTGTGTGTGTGTGTGTGTGAGTTGTGAGGGTTTGTCTGTGTGCGTGTGTGTACCTGGGTGCACGTGTGAACTGTGACTTGCAGGGGGTGTTTGTGTGTGTGTGTGTGTGTGTGTGCCTCATGTAGTATGTGGGGTGTGTGCATGTGTGTGGGGTGCGTGTGTGTGGTGTGCGTGGAGGCTGGGTGGGAAGGCACCTGGCCCGCCTCTGGCTTCTGCTGAATTTAGACGTGGTGATCTCACCCTGCTCCCCGACAGCCCCCTGCCCCCCTCAGCGCTTTATTTAGCTCCTGTGAGTCAGTGCCCTGGGGACGTGGGGGGGCAGGGCCACGGGCTCTGGGCAGCCCTGGGGCCTCCAGCTGCCAGGGGCCAGGAAAGCCCCACCGGTGCTGTCGCCATGGTGACGGCTGCCTGCTCGGAGGACAGCTGCTTTGGGCCCAGGCCTGAGGCCTGAGAAGCCTCCGCCCACTCAGCTTCGGGGTCAGGAGAGGCGGACGGTCCCTGCAGGTGCGGCCGGCTCAGGACCGTGTCCCTCATACACTGCTGGGGTCAGAGGCAGGGGCCAGGCTGCCTCCAGGCTGCGCCTGAGCGCTGTCCATGGTCCTTCAGTGGCAGCTCCCCCCCAGGCAGTGCCAGGCCCGAGCGGGAGGTGCCCTGTCCAGGGGCTCGTGGCCGAGGCAGGCCTGTGGGGCTCAGGAGCAGATGGGGAGGGAATTGGTGTGCGTGTGCACGCGTGTACATGTAAGCCTGTGCCGTGTGTAAGTACTGCCTTGTCCCTCCTGCCCACACGACCCTGCTCTGCGCCCCTCTGTGCACACCACGTGTCCCAGCCCAGGGCACCTGGAAGGCCGGGACCCACCCTGTGGGCTTGGCCCTGTGCGGGCCTCGCCCACGGGGAGGCAGACCCTGCTCAGAGGGGCCCCCTCGCCTGTGGGGGCGGAGGGAAACCCATCTTCTCAGGCCCCAGCACCACGCAGACCTGGGTCACTTGGGCGGGTCACTAACCTCAGCTTTCTGAGCTTGAATGCCACTGGGGGGGAGGGGGGGAGAGCAAATGTGAAAGCCCTCAGCGAGCTGTCAGTCCTGGGTGGCAGGCAGGCGATGGGGCAGGTGCTGGTGGAGGAGGTGGGGGAGGGGGGAGTAGGGGGAGGGGGAAGTGGGGGAGTGGAGCCAGGAGGAGGGGAAAGAGGTGGGAGGAGGAGGGGGATGGGGGGTAGCGGGGGGAGGTGGGGGAGGGGTAGCAGGGGGTCAGAGGGAGGAGGAGTGGGAGGGGGAGCAGGGGGAGGGGGTTTGAGGGGGTAACGGGGGAGCGGGGGGAGGGGGATGTCAGGGAGGGAACTAACGGGTGTCCGAGGCCACGGCCCTGTGTGCTCCCGCAGGGTCACTGGCGGGGAGCTGTTTGAGGACATCGTGGCGAGAGAGTACTACAGCGAGGCGGACGCCAGGTGGGTGAGCCCTCGCCCGCCCTCACTCTGCCCTCACTCACTCAGCCCCCGGCCGGCTGCCCCTGACACGGGCAGGCAGACAGTCAGCTGGGCGGAGATGCCAGTCTGCCCCCGGCTGAGCCCGGGCCCTCTGTGCGGGAGGACCAGGCTCTGGTCCCAGGGGAGGGTGCTGTCCGGGGGCTGATGGCAGGCAGGGGGAGAGCAAGCAGGTGGGCGTCCTCCTGCCCCCGAGGTCAGTCCACGGCCCCCGCCCCCTCCCTGGTGCCGCCTCATGCAGCTCCCAATTCCTGTCCCAAAGACAGACCGGACTCCTTTCCCAGCATTCTCTGGGCCACCCTTCCGGCAGAGCTCTGCCCCGATGTTCTCCCGGAGTCCCTGGTGGGTGGCGGACAGGAAGCCGGGCCCGGGTGGGGTGGCGGGGCGGGGTTCCCGGGACCCAGGCAGCTCCTCCTGCGGGTCAGCCTCACGGAGCCTGAGCCGCGGTCAGCGTGGCCGCGGGTGCAGGCACGTCCGGAGGGCAGGCCATGGCGGGGGAGGGGGCTGCGTCCCCGCCTGTGGGCCAGATGCCCCCGATCTGTGACGGGGGCTCCTGACGGGTTCTCAGCGAGGGCCCTCCTGGCCAAGGAGACGCGTTTAGAAGGAAGAGAGGCCGGCCTGGTCTCCGGGGAGTGGATTCGGATGCTCTTCCATTTTTAATCCTCGGTCTGTTTTAACGCTTTAATGAATATGCATCACTTTCCTAATCAGGGAGGTGAAGGTGGTTTCTGAAGTCGCTCTGTGACTGGCTTCTGCCCCTACAGGCCACGAGCCTGCCGTGGGTCCGGGTGCCATGAGACGGTGTGCGTGGTCCTGGTGGCGCCTGCACCGGGCAGCCGGGGGCAGGGGGAGAGCCGGGCCATGGCGGGGGGTTGGGCCACAGCGGTGGGAGAGCCGGCCATGGGGGGCAGGCGCCGGCTGGTTCTGAGGCTCCACGGGGAGGGGTTCCATCCAGGCAGCCTCCGGAGAGGAGGGGAGCACTTTGTCTGCTTCGTGAAAACTCGGGGAGTGGGCACAGCCTCTGCCTCCTCTGCCCAGCGCCAGCGGGCCTGTCCAGGGCGGGTGCCCGCCTGCCTGCTGAGAGGTCGAACCCAGGGCCAGGCTGACCTCACACCTGCCAGGGCCCAGGGCTCCTGGACTGCACTCCCTGCAGGAGGAGGGCGCCCCCTGGCGGCTGCCTCCTGTCATTTCCCTCTTTGGACCCTCTCCCCAGCTCCTGGACCCTCAGCGCCCTCCACTGGGCACCCCCAGGCCTGGCACCTCCCTTGGTGTGCAATGGGGCTCCGCCCTAGCCCGGCTCTGGACCTGGGCCTGGGACCCTCCTAGCTGCTCACAGGGACTTCCTGGAGTGCCCGTGTGGACCACACCCTGAGCCGCCCTGGGCATGCCATACCCAGTGTGCCCACCCCCCTCCAACCCCCCCAACCATCCCCACGCTACCACCACCCCGCCTCTTCCCCTATGCCCCCTGCATCCCACCTGCTCCCCCCAAGCCAGTCACCTTTACTCACCTGCCCCTCCCTCCGGCCTCCTGGAGGCCCCCTTCCTGCTCCCCGCCCTCGTGCACAGTGGGGCTCCCTGGCTTTGGGGTCCCCCGGAACTGGCCCAGGCTGGGGCTCTGCACTGGAGCCCCTCCTGCGATCCGTTTGCTCTCAGCCGGACGGGGAGGAGGGGGCCAGGAGGAGGGGTGCTCCCAGCCATCCCCGTGGGGACCCTCGGAGCCCCTTCCGGGGTCCCGGGCCCAGAAGAGACGGTGTGTTGTGCTGGTGCTTGGAGTCTGGGGTCAGCATGGTGTCGTCGGGGAGGGCTCCGTGCCCCTGGGGCTGTGCTGAGGCAGGAGCCCGGCCAGACCGGCGGCCTCCCCTGACCAGTGACCCCCAGGGCCTGTGTCCGATGGGCGCCCCTGTGGGGGCCCTGGAGGAGGGGCCCCCACGGGAGTGGTTTGGTGGCCTCGACCCAGGAGGCTGGCGAGGCCTCGGAAGAGGAGGCGGAAGCCGACCGGGGCGGCAGCGTTCGGGGTGTGAGCAGCCGTTTATCGGCCCCAAAGCAGAACGGCTCAGAGATGGGGGGGGGGGGGGTGCGGAGAGGAGCCAGAGCCGAGAGAACACGCCCGGGGCCCGGCGGCCTCTGGACGACTCGGAACCATTCGGACCACGAAGTGACTCTGAACGGCTCCGCTCGTGCGGCCGAGGAGGGGTGCGTGCCCGTGAGCCCGAGGAAGCAGGACCGCGGCGCCCAGCCAGGCGGCCTCAGTGCCCAGCCTGGTTTCAGCTTGGAGGTCCGTCCAAGCCAGGCAAGGTGAGGGTCCCGGAGCCGTCCCCCGACTTGGCTGTCGGAACGGGCCGCTCCCCCCCACAGGCTGCGGACGGGACTCCCGTGTGGGGGAGGGGCCGGGAGAGCCAGACAGAGGCCCCGGCACTGCCCGTGGGCAGGTGCACCGTGCCCGTCCAGCCCGTGGCCAGCCAGACGGGAGCGGGAGGTGTGGGTCCTGCCTGCCGGTGCCTGGCCACCAAGCGGGGCCTGCAGGAGGCGGACGGCAGGAGGCAGGCCTGGATGTCGGCACACGGACGAGCCCTCGGTGCTGGGAGCCCAGTCCCCAGGAGGACGCCACCCCGAGGGCAGCGTGCAGACGTGTGGGGACCCCGGCGGGCGGCCCGAGAGCTCGGGGTCCTGAGTGACCGCGGCTCCTCGGGCTGGACGCCGCCGGACGCCGTGGGACCGCGTGGTGCCTCGAGGATGCCCACACGGAGAGGCCGAGGCCGGAGGGCGGGCCTCGGGGGAGGGCCTCATGGGTTTGCCGAGGCAGAGACCCCGTCGCAGCTGCGGGCGGTCCGGGTGCAGGCCCGCGGGCATGGACCGCGGCGGAGGCTGAGGCCTCTGGCTGGTGGCAGGCCGGCTCGGAGGATGGCGGGGCTCACGATGGCACGCAGACACGCTGCCCCCGCGGAGCCAGCGTCCGCAGCAGCAGACGGCAGGGCGTCCGCGGGGTCGCGCTGCGTGTGGTGCCTGGTCTGCATGAGCCATCCTCGGCACGTCCTGGGCTGTGGGGGCTCGGCCCCCGCCTGTAGCCTGGCAGCGGCTGTGCCAGGCAGGTCACCGAGGGGCTGTGGGGGGCGGGCAGGAGGGAAGCCTGGGCCCAGGTTGGTGGGCACTGGCTCCCGGTCGGCGCCTCTGACTCCAGCTTCAGCCACGGGCGTCGCGGGGTGTGGGGGGACCCCATGGGGGACCGGGCAGCGGCTGACGGTGCCCAGATGTGGCCACAGCTTTTCGGGGAGAGGCCGGCCCCGCTCCCTGTCGTTAGAAACAGCTGACCCAGCAGCGGAGGAGGGGTCCTGGGGGATCTGCCTGCCCTCCCCCCCGTTCGGAAGGGCTGTGAGGGAGACCGGGGTGGGGGACCCTGAAGGCCATTGCCTGGCCCTGGGCGCCCCGAGTGCGGGGCAGGGACACTGCGCTCAGTGGGCAGAGCTGGGCAGCCTGACCCAGAGGAGCCTGGCCAGGCCCGGGAGGTGCCTGCGGGTCCCCCAGAGAGCGCCTGGCCGCGGCTGCCAGGCTGAGGGGGGGCGGGTTCTGACTTACTCGGATAAGTGGCACCTGCTCTGGCCCACGAGTGACTGGGGGCTGCAGCATCAGCACTGCCGACACCCAGGTGCCCCCTTCCCTCTCTCTCTTTGCCCTTTCACCTTGCCCTCTCACCTCTGCCCTCTCCTGCCCGGGTTCCCTTCAGGCTGTGTTGCCGGGGGTGGCCTCTACCCTGGTCCCCCTCCCCGAGGGCCCAGCTCAGGGTCAGGCTTGGCCAGCATGAGCCTGGGGAGGAGCGGGGAGGGGTGGACCTGGCCCAGGGGCAGGCATGGGGGCACAGGGCCGGCCAAGCCTGTGCTGACCTGGTGCGAGGGAGCCCCCAGCCCCTCCTGGCTCGTGTCCGCTCTGAGGCGGACGGTGCCTGGATTCCTGCCTCCCGTGGCCACCCAGCAGGGCCTCACCCCAGCTCCCAGCCCTGCTCCTGCACCCGCGGGCCACTGCCCTCCTGCCCCCATTCCTGAGCCCCACACTACCCTCTCCCCGCCCCTGCGCCCCACAGGCCACCCCCCCCTGCCCGCTGCCCCGAGCCCCACAGGCCACGCCCACCCACCCCCGCTCCCGCGCCCCCTGCCCTGCGCCCCTCGCCCCCCCCCCTCTGCCCCCCGCCCCGCGCCCCCTGCCCCCCGCCCCTCGCCCCCCCCCCGCTCCCGCGCCCCCCGCCCCGCGCCCCCTGCCCCCCGCCCCTCGCCCCCCCCCGCTCCCGCGCCCCCCGCCCCTCGCCCCCCCCCGCTCCCGCGCCCCCCGCCCCGCGCCCCCTGCCCCCCGCCCCGCGCCCCCCCCCGCCCCGCGCCCCCCCCCGCCCCGCGTCCCCTGCCCCCCGCCCCGCGCCCCCCCCGCTCCCGCGCCCCCCGCCCCGCGCCCGCACTAATGCACGTGCTTCTGCTGCAGCCACTGCATCCAGCAGATCCTGGAGGCCGTCCTGCACTGCCACCAGATGGGGGTCGTGCACAGGGACCTCAAGGTGAGTCCCGCCTCCGCACCTCGCCCGCCATCCCCACCCGCATGTCCCTGACCAGAGGCCAAGGGCCCTGTGAGCACACACCTGTGCATGCGTGTGTGCATGAAGGTGCGTGATTGTGCGTGTGAGATGTGTGTGTGCTTGTGAGACGTGTGTGTGTGTGCGTGTGTGTGTGTGGGGGGGTGTCTGCACGCAGCCCTCATAGCACCTTCAGGCAACCATCTGAGGGGATGGTTGTCAGAAATGGTGGCTTCGGGTCCCAGACCCCACCCCGCAGAGGAGGGGCTGTGGTAGGGGCTGATCCCTCAGGAGCAGAGGGTGAGGTGCCAGTGGTCTCTGCAAATTCTCCACCTCATGTCGAGACCCCGTGGCCCTCAGCTCAGCCTGGCCCAGCGCCCCAGACCTTTCCAGAGGAGTCATCCTCCCCCTCCTCCCTCTCCCTCCCCCCTTCTCCCCAGCTCTCTCTGGCTGGGCCCTGGGCTGTCCTTTCTGCTGAGAGGCCCCCTGGTGGCGGAGAGGCAGCCTTCCCTTGGAGCTGACCCTGCGTGTGTGTGTGTGTGTGTGTGTGTGTGTGTGTGTGTGTGTGTGTGTGTCTGTGGGGTGCTCTGTGCCCTCCCTGCCCCGGCTCCCTCTGCCTGTCCTGTGGTCCCTGCTCCCCGTTCTGCTTTGTGCTCTGCCCTGGCACCGTCTACTCTGAACGGCCTGGTTCGAGGCGGGGGCACAGGGGCGCGAGGAGTCCCCCTCCTCCCCGGACCCCCGCACTCAGAGGCCAGGGCAGGACTGTGGGGTGGGCTCCCAGCCCAGAGTGATGGGGGAGAGGGCGCACAGACCTCGCTGGGCGGGGGAAGGCTCCAGCTCCAAGGACCGAGGACCGAGGACGAGGCAGCCTGGCGGAGCCCCTCCCCGGTCACTCTGCAGGTGCTCTGGCCCCGCAGGAGTGTGGGGTCCGCAGAGCGTTGTCCCTGTTTGGGGCTGTGGGGTCTGCGGGGCGGTGGGCCCAGCAGGGAGGGGGTGTCCTCAATCCTGGGGGGGGCTGTGACCCTGAGGTTCAGCTCCAGCCTCACCGCCCGCAGACCTCCTGACGTGGTGCCTGGAGGTGGGGTCCGGCCGGCCCTCACTGGCTCTGGGGCCGGGCCCCTCGGGGTCACAGAGAGTGTCCGCACACGTGGGCTGTGGCGTTGGCCTTCTTGGTGGCGCTGAGGTGTGTGACGGAGCGTTGGGCCGAAGTAGACTGTGCCGACCGAGGACATGGGGGGGCTCTGACCGAGGACATGGGGGGCTCTGACGGAGGACATGGGGGGGCTCTGACCGAGAACATAGGGGGGGCAGGGCTCTGACCGAGGACATGGGGGGGCAGGGCTCTGACCGAGGACATGGGGGGGCTCTGACCGAGCACTTGGGGGGGCTCTGACCGAGGACATGGGGGGGCAGGGCTCTGACCGAGGACATGGGGGGCTCTGACGGAGGACATGGGGGGGCTCTGACCGAGAACATAGGGGGGGCAGGGCTCTGACCGAGGACATGGGGGGGCAGGGCTCTGACCGAGGACATGGGGGGTCGGGGGCTCTGAGCGAGCACATGGGGGTTCGGGGGCTCTGACCGAGGACATGGGGGGTCAAGGGCTCTGACTGAGGACATGGGGGGCTCTGACCAAGGACATGGGGGGCTCTGACGGAGGACATGGGGGGGCTCTGACCGAGAACATAGGGGGGCAGGGCTCTGACCAAGGACATGGGGGGGCAGGGCTCTGACCAAGGACATGGGGGGGCAGGGCTCTGACCGAGGACATGGGGGGCTCTGACGGAGGACATGGGGGGGCTCTGACCGAGAACATAGGGGGGGCAGGGCTCTGACCGAGGACATGGGGGGGCAGGGCTCTGACCGAGGACATGGGGGGTCGGGGGCTCTGAGCGAGCACATGGGGGGTTGGGGGCTCTGACCGAGGACATGGGGGGTCAAGGGCTCTGACCGAGGACATGGGGGGCTCTGACCAAGGACGTGGGGGGCTCTGACCGAGGACGTGGGGGGCTCTGACCGAGCACATGGGGGGTCGGGGGCTCTGACCGAGAACATAGGGGGGCTCTGACCGAGGACATGGGGGGGCTCTGACCGAGGACATGGGGGGTCGGGGGCTCTGACCGAGGACATGGGGGGGCTCTGACCGAGGACGTGAGGGGAGCAGAGGCTCTGAAGACAGAGTTCGGGGTCTTTCAGAATCAAGGTGACAGAGGTCAGGGGATGGACTCCAGGCCTGTGACCAAGACCAGGGCTGCCCTGAGGGGGGTTCCTGGTGTAGGCGGATCCCGACGCAGACAGAGGGCCCTGAGAGTACAGGCCGGCCGTGACCTCCACGACCTCCCTGGGTGGACGGACGGGCGATTGCCTGGGGGAGCTCCTTCCCACAGAGCCTTCCTCCTCCCAGTGCCGTGAGGTCTCGGGGGCTGGCCTGTGGGCAGGCACCCGGCGGTCGGGGGCTTGTGGGGAGCACTCACTCTGGGCCAGCGCCCCAGTGCTGTCCTGGCTCCATGGGACCCCAGCCGCACTCAGAGCCAGCCTTTCCCAGGAGGCTCCATCCTTCGGGGCTGGGGTGCAGGCCCAGGGCCCACGGGGTCAGCGGTGCTGGGAGACACCCACGTACAGGTCAGGCCCGAGCGCCCGCCTGCAGCCGCTGTCCCTGTCTCTCCCCCTGGGGCTCCCGCAGCCCGAGAACCTGCTCCTGGCCAGCAAGTGCAAGGGCGCGGCCGTGAAGCTGGCGGACTTCGGCCTGGCCATCGAGGTGCAGGGCGACCAGCAGGCGTGGTTTGGTGAGCTCCCGGCTGGGCCGGGGGGGGGGGGGGCGACAGAGAGGGCTCAGCGCCCAGGCCCTCACCCCTCCCTTCCCGCCAGGGTTCGCGGGCACCCCCGGCTACCTGTCCCCCGAAGTCCTGCGCAAGGAGGCCTACGGCAAGCCGGTGGACATCTGGGCGTGCGGTGAGGCCCGGGGCGGGTTGGGGCCGGGAAATGGGCGGATGGGGGGAGCGGGGGGCTGGCAGAAAGGGGGGGCAAATGAGGCCAGCTGGAGCCCCTCCCACCCTGACCAGACCTGAGCCCCAGCGGCTGCTCAGACCTGTGCCCGTGCCCGTGGGCTCAGGGGGCATGCAGACTGCCCTTTGCCTGGGTTAGGATGGGGGTGAGAAGCCGTGAATAACATTCTGCCACGTGAGGGTCCCCAGGACCCGGTGCCTTCCTGGGACTGCCTGGCTTTGGGGGGCCCTTAGCTGGGGCTGGGAGCCGGCTGAGGGTCCACCCTGCCAGCTGCACACTCACCTCCTGGGGCCGGGCTCCGGGCGTGGTGGGTGGTGGGTGGGCATGGAGGTGGGCGGGCCTGGTGGGCGGGTGCGGTGGCGGTGGGTGCCAGCTGAGCCTGCCCCCTGCAGGGGTGATCCTGTACATCCTGCTGGTGGGCTACCCGCCCTTCTGGGATGAGGACCAGCACAAGCTGTACCAGCAGATCAAGGCCGGCGCCTACGACGTGAGTGCTCCCCCCTCCCCCCCCGAGAGCTGGCCCTGTGGGCCCGGACCTCCCTGAGCACCGTCTTCCTCCAGTTCCCCTCCCCCGAGTGGGACACGGTCACACCCGAAGCCAAGAACCTCATCAACCAGATGCTGACCATCAACCCCGCCAAGCGCATCACCGCCCACGAGGCACTCAAGCACCCGTGGGTCTGCGTGAGTCTGGCCCTGGCCCCGGGGGCGGGCAAGCGGGCCCTGGTCCTGCCCCGCACCCGGCCGCCCTGAGCCCCCGCCCCTGCCCCCCTTCCCTTCAGTCCCCCCGAGCCCCCCTGAGCCCGCCCCCTGCTCCCCTGAGCCCCGAGTCCCCCCTGACCCCCTGCACCCGTCCCCACAGCAACGCTCCACGGTGGCCTCCATGATGCACCGCCAGGAGACGGTGGAATGCCTCAAGAAGTTCAACGCACGGAGGAAGCTCAAGGTGAGGGCGGCCGCACCGTGTCCCCAAGGCGCCTGCCCCTGGGGCCTGTGCTGGGAGGGGGGACGCTGCCCGGCCGGCCTCGCACCCCCACACCCCCAGCCTTCCGCCCCCCGAGGGCTCCGGTGAGGGCGTCCCCGCCTCCAGCCAGGCCCCAGTGCTTGGGGGGATAGGAGGGAGGGGTACCCCGAGGGGCCAGCACACTGCCTTCGGGGAGAGGCCCCCCCGAGAGGCCCTGGGGCCCTGGAGCCCTGGAGCCCTGTGGGGCTGTGGGCAGAGGGAGGCTCCTGAGGGAGCAGCTGGGAACCTGCCAGCACCCGGGCAAGGCCGGGGCTCCCGGCCAGCGACCGTCCCAGCTGTGTCTCTCCCCGTGTCTCTCCCCAGGGCGCCATCCTCACCACCATGCTGGCCACCCGGAACTTCTCAGGTGAGATGGTTCTTCCGGCAGCTCCGTGACCCTGCCCCCTGTGACCCCGCCCCCCGTGACCCCGCTCCCCCCCGTGACCCCGCTCCCCCCCGTGACCCCCGCCCCCCCTGTGACCCCGCCCCTCCGTGACACACACACACACACACACACACACCCCTGCCCGAGGCCCTCCAGGGCGTCGGGGTCTGTGTCCTGCCCGGCGCCTGCTCTGTGTGTCCGCGTCCGCGGTCGGCCTGTGGCTGTCGTCGTGCCGACTCGGGCTGCGTCTCGTGTGGGGCGCGGCCGCGCTCAGCTCGGCGTGCTGGCGGCCTGCGGCGAGGCGGGGCCGGCAGTGGCCGCGGCCCCCGGCCCCGGGACAGCGCACCGTCCTGTGGCTTTGTGTGCGGCGTCTGGTCTGCTCGCTATGTCTGCCCCGCACCTCTGTGCCTCGCTGTGGCCGTCCGGGCGCCGTCCGTCCGGGACGCCCAATGTGGGTCC